CGTCGAGCTGTGACGCGACACGTCGAGCTGCAAAAGTTCAGATTTTCTAACTTCAGCGATTTGCGCCTCAGCGATTTGAACGCTCAGATCGTTCAAATCGTTCAAATCGCGCTGCTCTAATCGCGCTTGAGGTGCCGCAGCCCTTCCCGACGCTGATTGAAGCGCGTCCACCATAGACTTTTCTTGTAAACCTGATGCTCCTGATGCTGAAATAACATTCGATGTGAACGCACCATAAGTCTTTTGAGCTGCCTCGTCAGCATTTTTCTTTATTAAAGCCTTTTTTTTGGATGCTGCCTGCGCCCTGGGTTCTTTCCTGCCTGCCAAATCATAACACTTCTTTTTTCAATGGGCAAACCGGAGTACCCGGTGAAAACCCTGACATTTACAGTTTAGTATGAATGACTGAGACTTTATTGAACTGTTTAAACTGAACTCAGAACTCCAAGACTTACTACTTTTTAACTCGCGATGTCTCAGCCATCAATTCAAGTACATGCTTAAAAATTTATTTCAGTAAAGTCCAAAGTCTTCTGACAGTCACGGTCCAAAAATTATTTCAATACCCCTTATATTTTTTGCACAGCAGCTGTTTGAAAGGACCCATCATTTCTGTGTTTTCAGACAGAGGAGCTGCATTTGCATTTGACATAATCAGTGACATGCATATCATTTGTTTACATTATCAGTCATAGGTGTAACTTATGGCTGATAATGTATGGAAATGATGTGCATGATGTGTTTTTAAAGGAAATGAATAAATTTGCCAATTTTATAATACACGCATTTTTTTTCCAATGGGCAAACCGGAGTACCCGGTGAAAACCCTGACATTTACAGTTTAGTATGAATGATTGAGACTTTATTCATTTCCTAAAACACAAAATAAACTCTATTATCAATAAAAGGGGAAAAAAAAGATTGTATACAGTTCACAAATAAAGTGCCCATTTTCTTCTAATCATAAATTGTCCGTCCAATTTCTGTGAACTAAACCGACGGAGGATTTAAAACATCCAGGGTTGGACCCAGAACCCCATGGTGTTGGACTTGTAAAGGTTCCACAAAGCCTGTATGGTGCTGCCGGACTCAGACTGGACAGATGATGGTTTTCTTTGGGGACAGTTGGGACTAGAGAGGTCTGATTGGAGACCACCCAGAGGGGTCTTCTGCTGGTTTTGATTCTGGGTGTTGAAGTCATCACATAAAGTTCTTAAAGTAAAACCCAGCTCCGTAGGTGTGGATGTGGCAGGTGGACTCTGGTGGTCCTCCGGTTTCGTTCCCAGCTGCTGGTTCTGGTTGAGATGTTTGCTGGTGACCTTATCGGTTCTGGGTTCGGAAACCTCTGGACTCTCTGTAACGGGGGGATCCTGCTGGATTTTTATGTTCAACACTTTGTTTTGTTCAGTCAGAGAGGAGTTGACCTGACTCAGGGTTTGATGTTTGTTCTCAGAGCTGAGCAGAGCCTCCTGAAGGGTTTTTAGCTCCTGGTTCTGTTTCTGAAGATAAACCTGATTTTCCTGTAAGTCCTGAACTATTTGTTGCAAAGAGTCTTCATGAAGCTTCATGGCTTCTTGTTGCTCACTCAGTTGTTGGATTCTTCTGTTCAGGACCTTGTTTTCTTCAGTCAGAGAGGAGTTGATCCGACTCAGGGTCTGATGTTTGTTCTCTGAGCTGAGCAGAGCCTCCTGAAGGGTTTTCATCTCCTCGGTTTGTTTCTGAAAAGAAACCTGATATTCCTGGAAGGCCTGAACTTTTTGTTGCAAAGAGTCTTCATGAAGCTTCATAACTTTTTGTTTTTCACTCAGTTGTTGGATTCTTCTGTTCAACACTTTGTTTTCTTCAGTCAGAGAGGAGTTGATCCGACTCAGGGTCTGATGTTTGTTCTCAGAGCTGAGCAGAGCCTCCTGAAGGGTTTTCATATCCTCGGTTTGTTTCTGAAGAGAAACCTGATCTTCCTGCAAAGTCTGAACTTTTTGATGCAAAGAGTCTTCATAGAGCTTCATGACTTCTTGTTTTTCACTCAGCTGATGGATTTGTCTGTTCAGGACCTTGTTTTTCTCAGTCAGAGAGGAGTTGATCCGACTCAGGGTTTGATGTTTGTTCTCAGAGCTGAGCAGAGCCTCCTGAACGGTTTTCAGCTCCTGGGTCTGTTTCTGAAGAGAAACCTGATCTTCCTGTAAGGCGTGTTGACTTTCAGAAACGTCTCTCTGCAGAACATCGTTCTGGTTCTTCAGGATTTCGTTTTCTTTCTTGACCAAAGCAAAATCTTTTTCTAAATCTTCCAGTTTGCCTCGTACAGTTTCCAGCTGCGCATTTTGACTTTGAAACACGTCATTTCGTTGTAAAGACTCTCYTTTGGGCACCCTTTCTGCAATGTTTTCACCTTCTAATGCCTCCAAATCCTGGTTGTTCATCGCAGAGCTCGGCTGATTTGAGTTTTGACAAAAACTTACCTTATCTGTCCSGAAGCTATCATCTTTAATCCTGCTCTCAGCCCCTTTGCCAACAGTTTTATTGGAACCTTTACGATTTTTTTGTTTGGGCACTTTATTTTTGTTCTTTTTGGACCACTTCTTGTTTTTCCTAAGATACTTCATGTATGGTTTAAGACATGTTGCTTTTTCAAAGCCCTCGTCATTTTTTTGTGAGGGTTTAATTTCCAAGTGAAGACGGAGATCGTTCTTACTCAGTACCTTAGTAGCTACGCTTTGTTTGTTTGGAAACATGTTAGATCTTTCTGTCAGTAGAAATGAACTAAAAATAGTTTAATCTCTGTAAAGTCACCGCTGTGAACTTAAATATGCGTGTGTCTGCTCGGATGTCCGATTTCAGAATGAAGGTTCAAAAGAGATTCAAAAGATCAAAGGAATGGAGTGGAATATTTAATGATGTCATGATGATGTCACAAAATGGAATCTTTGCTTTATTCAAATTGTTGGGGGCGTGATGATGTCACAAAATGGAATCTTTGCTTTATTCAAATTGTTGGGGGCGTGATGATGTCACAAAATGGAATCTTTGCTTTATTCAAATTGTTGGGGGCGTGATGATGTCACAAAATGGAATCTTTGCTTTATTCAAATTGTTGGGGGCGTGATGATGTCACAAAATGGAATCTTTGCTTTATTCAAATTGTTGGGGGCGTGATGATGTCACAAAATGGAATCTTTGCTTTATTCAAATTGTTGGGGGCGTGATGATGTCACAAAATGGAATCTCTGCTTTATTCAAATTGCTGGGGGCGTGTCTGCTGGAGGAGCTCAAGCCACGCCCACGCCCTGAACATTCCTGTAACCATGGAAACAATGTTTGTTGTTTTTCCGTTAGAGCAACAGGGGGCGGGGTTATACAGTTTTAGAATTAGGGGACCTATAAATTTGAGTTAGTGCAGGGGTGCCCAAACTTTTTCCCCGAGGGGGGCCAAAATGAAAATCTGTCCATGGCTGCGGGCCAAATGCAGTTATATAATACATGAAATACAAATACTTTTTAAAGTAAAGTCCTTTATTTTTAACGATTAAGCTGTGCAATGGCTCTCTTTTGTTTTAGTCTGTGCACTTTGAGAAAGTCTGCCATTCGCTCAAGTAGCAAAGGCTCATGGGACATATCATAAATTGATAAAATATGAGTTTTTGTGGCCTTAGAAAGTGTGCAAATCTACATGCGGCGTTAAATGTGATCTAAATATTTCTTGTTGTCATTTCATGTTTCATGTTTAATCCTAATAAATCAAAGATATGTCTGCACMATGACTGAAAACTACCTTCACTACAGCCCTTTTATATAGTCCTTTGACCAATGGAAATACTGTGTTTCTACCTATAGGATAACAGGTTACAACCTTGTAACTTTGGCAACTGTTGGTGGGCCAAATGAAATGGCTTGGCGGGCCAAATTTGGCCCGCGGGTCTCACTTTGGCTCCTCTGAGTTAGTGTTTTAGGGCTAGTGGAACTAATTTTTAGATTAGTGCTGCCCACCACTGGCCCTCTCCCATTCTTCCACTAAAATATCTTCCTGTAGGTCCTCTCTCCATGCCTCCAACCTCTCCACAGATRTTTCTGCACTGCCATCAACCAGGCCATTATATATTTTGGAGATTAAGCCCGCTCCCAAGTTATTTTTGATCATTAGTTTTTCCAAGGCAGACATTGAAGGGATGAATAATGTTTGGTTTTGTTGTGTTCTAATAAAACTTCAGTTGTAGGTATTTAAAGAAATGTTGATGGGGTATAGTATTAAATTTATCAGCTATCTCTTCAAAAGTCAATAGTACTTCCTGTGGATTATAAAGCTCTATTGTCACCAACCCTTTTGTGGCTCAGAGATTAAACTACCCACAGCATTCCTGATTCCACACCACTACCCATMATTCATAGCGGAAGCAGATTCTATATTTCCGCTTGGCTGTTGTTTATAATTATGAGGATGCACCATTGCTGTTTATCAAAGCATTTTTGTGTTTAATATTTTTATTAGGAAGAAAAAAAAGTGAAGATATGAAAATACATGTGCAAGACAAAATTGTGGACATGCTTCAACAGTTAGTATTTTCTTCTTTAAATTTTTTCCACACAAACATACGGCCTTGGCGGAGGTTTGCGCTCTCCGAGTGCTTCTAGTTGTGTCATGTTTTTGATCTGAGTTTGTTTTACAGAATGAAATGTCTGAATGCRTGCTCATCCAACACTGGTGATTCCATACTTTTTGCCAGGAGTTGTAGCATTAATTTGTCCTCACCTGTGATTCTTAACCTTTGGTTGACCTACTTTGTGTTTGTTTCTGCAGCCAGTCTGCGAGTGAGCAGCGTCAGCGTGGTCCGGTCAGACCACTCCAGCATATGTTTGTCGTGGAGACCAGTGACCTCGGTGGATGGATACAGGATTGTCATTCAGTCCGTTAAAGGTCATCTGCTGAATAAATCATGTTTACCTCAGTTAATTTACCTGCTGCTGTGAACGTGGCTTTGTTTTTCTCTGTGTGTTCAGACAAACGGACAAATCAGGATGTTGTGGACGAGTCCAGCAGCAGTTACTGCTTCACTGATTTGGAACCAGAGACTCTGTATTGGATCAGCATGCACTCGCTGCTCGGCCCGATAGAAGGCGCCGCCGTCTCCATCCTCCATCCAACAGGTAGAAAAACCACCAGTGACTGTGGCTTCTGTGGTGTTGATGCAGCAAACCTTYCCAGTGAATCCATTCATTGATCATTGGAACCCTGCAGAGTCCCTGCTTGGTGGCTCAGAAACACAACAGCAGCAGGCTGATTTCAGACACTTTGGTTCCTTCATACATTATATTGAGGATTCTCAGACCTGTTTTGAAATGTTTTATGAAAAAGTCCATCTCAATGTTTAGATGTTAACCCAACCAGTTCACCTCAGTTAATCACTGTGTTGTTATAAAACACTGGTTAAACTGGTTTATAAACAATCCACAGTGAGGATTCTGCTTTTTGTTGTTTAAAAACTCCTTACAACTCYGTGTTTCCTTGTCTGGTTTGTCTAAATCCTTGTTGCAACAACCTGTTATCCTTTGTGCATGCAGTTTTAATAAATCACATGCAACATGTCCACTTTTAGCACAGGCTAKGTTCTTTTATTTGTGCAGCTAATTAGCGCTAATTGTCTGGGATATTTATATTAGCGCCCCCTGAGGAGTAGCCCAGTAAACAGGGTTCAGGGACCTGAACCAATATGAAAAGTAAGACATTTTATTGTAGAATTTTCCAGGTTGAGGTAAGTTCGGAAACACGACAACAAAAAGTTTTGTGTGTTTGGTGCAGGAACCTGACTGTGGATCACCAGAACCACTGTGAAAGAAAACAAATCACGGCAGTAAATTAAAATATAATTAGAATAATAAAATGCTCAACTTTTATTGTTTGTTTTATCTTTCAGCTCCAGCTCCTGTCAGAGTTCACATCTACCCTCAGATGTACCCGATCCATAATGAAGGTGAGCCTTTATAAATCACTGGTCTTCATTTTAAAAGGACACTTTAATTATTTTAGTATTTACTTCAAAGGGTTCAGGAACAACTTATCTGTCCAGTTTGATGTTTCATCCTTTCCTTTAAATTACTTGGTAATAACCTTTGACCACACTAACTCATCCAACCCTCCAGATAGACTCTCACTTATTTAAAAAATGGAAAGAGTGAAAGATGCTGAGTACATGTTCCAGGCAATTGTTTTATCTGTTTTTATCTCAGCTATGTTTGTGGTATTGCTTCTAAAAGAGTGATATTTGTTCTTTGACTAAAAGAATTAAAAAATAAAACAGACTGTACTTGTTTGTTATCCTGTCCTGTTTGATGTCTCATTATTGTCCTCTTGTGTTGCAGTTTGTCCTGAAGTCACCATCAGAAACAGCATTGTTAAAGGTGACACAGATCGTCCTGACATGTTGCTTCTATTAATTGATCAAAATGAAAAAAGAGGCGGTTCTGGTGCGAATGATGCAGAAGTCAGTATTTGTGTGTTTCGTGTGTGTTTGTGTGTGTGTGTGTGTGTGTGTGTGTGTGTGTGTGTGTGTGTGTGTGTGTGTGTGTGT